AAGAGTGAGTTGGTGCAGTCTGCTCTCTGCGAAGTCATGCTGTTTCTTGGCAATTAGCTAAAACCAAGAGTGTAAAGGCATAAACTACTGTATTTCCTTTGTAGATCCTATTGACTGAAGAGTTCGTAGAGAGAATGCTGGAAGATTTAGAAGATCTGAATTCTCCAGAGGAAGTAAGGCTGCATCATTCCCCTGTCATCCATGTACTGTCCCAGAGAGCTCAGCCCATCCTGCCGATTGCCTTTGATCCTCCCCTCAGCTGGCAAGATACAGCCCTGCCCCATAGACTTGAGGCCTTGCTAAACCTTCACATCTGCTGTGTACTGAGGGACTGAGAGAAGGGCTTGCAAGAAATACAGGACAGGGATGGGTATTAATGGAGACTCTACATTTCCTTTCCAGCAGCATCTTTCACCACATGGTATCTGAGCACCCTGAATCAAAGCGGTGCAGCCCCTGGGCCAGGTGGCAGGGTTTCCTCCATGCCATGCACAGATACTGTCCTTGCCAGCAGCTCTGAGCACATCACCTTCCCCACTTTCAGAAAGGCTAAAAGTGGTGTTAGCACATTTACTGCTGAACAATCTGTTGTATGGTCCTCCTTTTCTGGGTTTGGGAAGCAGGCAGGGGCTTTTTCACATCTGCTACTTGGCCTTCACCTGCTGCCCCTTCACAGTGTGCAGAGCACCATCACCAGCCTGGAAGCATTATAGCAGCAGCCAGGGGAGCTTTATAAAGCTTTGCTCTATGGTACTAAACTTCCCCCTGCCATGTGATCTCTTCCTGGGGAACATTTAACACCCCGTCTCCCATGCATGCCATATAAATATTCTGCTTGACTTCAAAGAGCAGTGGCAGAAATGACATGTAATATTTTTAATCCCATTTTTTACAGCTCCCTGCAGACTCTAAAGAAACTTTCCTTGGCTTGTAGAGCAGCCCTCCAATCCCTTGCCCTACTCCCCTCCCCCTAGGAAAATCTCAGGGCTCTAATTGTTTAATCCAGAGTTGACTTAATGCCAGCGTGTTCTTCACTGTGTGAGTGAGGGGAGCACGCTGCTGGCTGTGCAGTGACTTTCAGGCCAGCTTTTATCCAGTTAAACCTAATCCAAAGCTCATTTTTTGCTAGTGACATGGAAGCTCAGGAGCACTTTGGTTTGAAGGCCCTTTAGTTAAGGCTTTCGATGGCTCATGTTCTTTTGCTGTCCATTGAGAGGCAATGAGCATGTCAGCTCCTGGCACAGCGACCGGGTGTTCGGTTCCGAGTTATTGTGACTTTGCTAAATTAAAAAGTGAAAAACAAACAGATGCAAAGGATGACTTCTCCAAGAGGACTGCTTGGAACCACTGCTGTTTATAAAAAGGAAAATGCTTGAGATGAAATGTGATCTTTCAGTATCCAGATTCCTCCAAGAATTTGTAAGTTGCAGGATTCTGGGTTGGGCCAACTGAGGCATTCCTCAGCAGCCCTGACTGTTGCTGATGATGTTTGTGTGGTAGAACAAAGCGCTGCAAGGAGAGTCTTTCCTTTGCTGCATGAAGAGACACCTGTGTTAAGTGAAATTAAGTGAAATAATCTGTCTGAGTATCTTTATCATATTTCTCACATGCCCTAGACAGTGAACTCAAAAGAATTCCCTGGGCAGTGCAGGGCCACTAGATTACATGGTACAAGCTACACGCAAGGGTTGAGTTTATGAAAAAAACATAAATTGGACTTGAGCTGCTTATATTTCCTAGAGGATAAAACGTGGGAGTTTATGGTAGTCCCTATCCTGAAGGATCCTCCTGCAGTTTGATCATTTTCCATGTTCCCCCAGATCACGGGTTAGACCCTGAGCCAACAGCCAAGCATACTAAGGTCAATGGATACTAACTGCAGGTTATCCTCATGCACAGCTGTAAATGGAGTAAAGTCAGGAGCAAATCAGTGTTAGAGCAGGCCTTGCTGTGGAGCAGACAGCTGGAGGGGATCTCCTTTAGCAGGAGCCTGTCACTGAGCCTGTGTTAATGTCCTTCAGAAACAGGGTGCTTACAAGAAGAAAGAAAAGTAGTGGGATAAAGACAGCTCATTTGCAGATTGCTGTGCCCTTGTACCAACTCTGTAGTTCATGTAGCCCCTGGGAAGCTTGGGGTGCTGCTGGCCTTGGTCTAAGAACTCTTCTAGGAGAGAACCACTGTATCCATAACCATTCTGAATTAACCACCTCCAGGACAGATTGCCAGTAGTGGTGTGGGATCCCAGTGAGATTCCTCCATGGTAGTCACGTTGTGGTGTTAGGGAATATCACAGTGCAGCACTATGGGTGCAGTCAAGTTTTAAAAACAAAATCATCCTGTAAACTGGCATCCAGAGCTATCCCCAACATGTTTTGGACCCTCAGGCTGGGATTGTGTGACATGCCTATGCAGAACTGTTTGCCATCCAGTTGTGGATGGGGCAGATTTGTAGCCTAAGAGATTCCACCCCTCACCCCCCATGCTCCCCACAGAGCTGTGTTTGAGAGATCCCTGTGCATGCATGGGCACTGGTCGCATGTGGTTGTGAGAAGGGTTGTTGGTAAAGCTCCTTGAAGCTCTGTCCCTGCATGTTGTGTTTGGGATCACAGATGGTGGGGTGACTTCCTAGCCTAAGGCAGGGTGCCCTGGAGTGGCATCAGGATGGGACCGATGCACTTGCCTTGTTTGGGAAACATTGGCTGAGCCAGTGCTGTGGGAACCAGACTGGAGCAAAAAATCTGGATTCTGTATGCTTCAATCAGTGTTTGCAAAACAGCCTGAGCAGCTGGATGCCTGTGTGAGCACGAGGCGTTGTACGGGCGCTCTGCGAAGACTTTGTGCCAGAGGTGGGTAGGACTGGAGCAGAATTGCTGTGCAGGCACACTGGTTCTCCCCAGCCAGGGCAGCACAGTTTGCCCACCTGGCAGAGCTGTGCTGGGTCACCTACGTCCCCCCCTGTACAAGCAAGAGTTTGAAAGCTGCCATAAGTCTGCTTTTAAATCAAATATGTGCTCTGGGGGCCAGGCTGGGGTGAAAGGAAAGGGACATGGATAGGTAGGAGGGAAGACACTTCTGCTGCAGATCTTCAGAGAGGTTGGGAAGGGGAAATGGTGATGGGGGCAGAAACTCTCCAGAATTTGTCTGATGAAATAAACAGCACTTGGGCTGAAAGCTCAGAACTTTACTTTGGCAGCCGAGGCACAGGCCACATTATCTAATGTCCACTGCTGTCCAAAACATACTGATGGGGAAATGTTTTCTTAGTGGCCTCTTGTTTTAAAAAATAATAATGACATGGGGCTGCCTGCCTTTGCAACAATTCTGTTTTTTCCATGCAGGTTGCAGCGATATGCATTAACTGGTTCTCTTTGCTGTCTTACAGTTTAAGCTTCCAAAGGAGTACAGCTGGCCCGAAAAGAAACTGAAAGTTTCCATCTTGCCAGATGCCGTGTTCGACAACCCGCTGCATTAGAGCTGAATTACACTTTTCTAACAACTGGGAGAGCCAAGTTACTGTCCATTACCCAGTGACTCACAGGATAATTAATGCAGTGAAAACTCTGCCTGCAAATAAGAGTTTGCTGCACAACCACTGCAAACAGAAGAGGAGCTACTCAGCACCAGCCCAGACCGAACTGAGCCCTTTCCTTTACTCTTCCCAAGGCTGAACTCTCTGGGAACAGCCTGCGTATGTGTGAGTGCGAGTGAGAAATATTTAACTATGAAAATTAGTAGTAAGAATCCTTTCTCTCCCCTAGCTGCAGAACCCCCCTCTGCCTTAGCCCAGGGTGTAGACGCTCTGCACGCCTGTATTTACACATACATTTCTGCCAGGTGCGAGCCTATAATCCATGGATTAAATGTTCTTTACGTGACTCTGGAGTCCTTTTGTTAGCCAGACTTTTACTGACTGCAGAACTGTTCTTCCATGTGCTATTTTTTTTATTTTCAGAAACGGAATGGTATTTCCCCTGTTTAAAGGAGGCCAAAAGCTCACATGCTTGAAGCTGAACAGATTTAAAGATGAACTTTCTAGTTCAGTCAAGAAAAACAAACCCAGATCCTCCCTGCCCTCAAATTAGGCATGTTGGCGTGTTGGTCTTGGTGCTATTAGCTATGGTATCGCTGCAAACAGAGGCAACTTTATTCTCGTGCATCCTGTCCTTGTGCCTGAACCCCAGGGAAGGTCACGACCTCTGGTTTTGCACAAGCAGGAGGAAGAAAGCTACCGGGGCGGGGGAAATCTCCTGTTTACAGTGTGTTTATCTTTAAAGAGATACTGTCAAGTATTTTTTCCTTGCCATTGTACAGAATTTGAGAAGCTAGAAAGGATCATTTGTTCACAGGGACAACTTCAGCAGCTCTGCAGGATCCAGAGGGCTGCTTGAAAGCATATGAAGTGGAGTTCTCCGCTGCCCTGGCATAGCAGAGAGGAGACTCAGCCTCAATAAAGTCAACTATTCTCCCTGTTCCAGCAGGGTTGTGCCCTAATGCAGCTCCATTTTCCCCTCTAGCCTTGCTCTGGTAGCTCTTGTTGTTGCTGACCTTCCTCCTTTCAGATAGGTTTGAACTGTAAGGCATCAAAATCAGTTTGAAAAGACCCTCTCTCGATCCCCGTGGCTTCCTCCTTGGAGCAAAGCTTGGTGTGCAGAGGAGCTGGTCTCTGCAGTGCCAGGTTGTGTCTCTGCATCAGCTGCTAGCCCTGTGGATACGCTGCAGCAAACCACCGCAGGCTTTACCCCCTGCTGCTGCTGCAGGTTGTTTCTGATGCATATTCCTCAGCCTTCCTCTGCCCACAGGTGACAACTCTTCTCTCCTTGTCAGGGGAGGTGCAGCTTTCCCCTTTCTGCCTACAGGATAACTTGGTGGTTTATGCACAATTGCTGTGTGATTGTAATACAAGTATAACAAAAGCTTTTAACACTTAGCTCTCCTGATCAAACAGCAAAGTCCAGGAGGCCTCACAGTACCCCAGGGTTGGTTTTCTGTTTGTTTTCTGATTTAATTTCTTCTCGGCACAGTCAGCTTTGATGTTTTTTGCATATATTTGAGGCTGGTTAATGTTGGTCAAGAAGCAGAGCTAGGAGCCACAAAGCTTTCCTTGGACTTGCTACAGAATTCCTCTGTGGCCTCAGGCAAGTCACTCAATGTCTCTCTGTGCAGAGAGGGTCATTATTGACTAGAGGGCTGTAGGACCTACCGAAGCATGCCAGGGTTTGCAGGGGAGGGCGTGCTTTGTGTACAAAGTAGTATTTGTATTATTATAATTGTTGTTATGTTATAATTTAAGGCAGGCCAAATGCAGGGTCCAACACTGCTCCGCAGAACCTTCTTTCTGTACAGCTACGAAAGCAATTTACATGTAAATGAGTTTGTCATTTTGTCTGAACTCAGAGGATCATCTTAAAATCCTGCTGTGAAAGAACAAACTTTCAGATATCTGCATGTGCCAGCCAGAGTGATTTCTGTGCTGTGGCAGGCTGCATTCATCCGTGGGATCTCTTGGCCAGTTTTCATTGTCCTGGTTAGCACTAAGCATCCCTTCTGCGCTGTAGATGTATATGCAAGGGACAGCGTGGGTGAAAAAGAGGCATGAAAACGTTAACAGTGCAGCTTCGAAAATGACATGCCCAAGTGTCCCACTGCAAGATAATGAACAAACAGACGATTGTGACAGTGGGGAAAAAGGCAAGGGCAGCAACTAAAATTTTGTCCCAAAGCTATCCACCAACAGTAGCCCATGGATGCTCTTGTAGGAGCTTGCTGGGGGTGCTGCAGCAGAGCTGGCCTGTTGCCATGCTGCTGGCTGCTCTTCCTTGTTTCCAGATGCTAGCTCTCATTAAAAGGAGCTTAAAATCCACATCTTAGTGGAGAAGGGACATTTGGAAGGTCAATTGTTGCTGTTCCTTCAGAGATCAGCACGGGGCAGAGAGAAGTCCATCAGGCCCTCTCTGGGCTCTGACACACATCTGGAAAGCTTGGGACCTCCTGCCCTATGAACTCTTCGAGCCTTTGCGGTGGGGATGCAGTGCTGTATGCAGGGAAAGCACCTCCTCCAGGCTGGCTTGTGCTTCAGTTCTGCCTTTCTCATGCATATGTTTTCCTCACCGTATTTACTCTCACCAGAGCTCTGGGTTGGGTTTTCATTGACTTCCGAGGGAGCACACTGGATGCATTTGAAAATCCACCCAGTATCCTCGTGTGTGTGTGTGTGTGTGTGTGTGTGTGTGTGTGTGTGTATTTTTGTTCCATGTCAAGTATTTATATATAGTTCTGCGTATTTGAGTTACGAACAGGTGGCATGCCAGAAATCTCTATTTCTGAGACACTTTCTCACAGATCTTTGCTGGTAGCCAGATAACAATTGAGGGGAAGGCTTGAAGGGAAGGAAGTGAAATTTTCTTACTTAGTGAAGGGGAAAAACATTAGACTGCTAAAATAGAAATCCGTGTCTTATTGTTAGACCACCTATGAGAGAGGAGCTGGTGAAAGTCAGCCCTAAAGCTCCCAGGTCGTGTCGCTGCCTCTCAGCAAGTTATCTAAGAATGAGAAAGTTGCACATTACTGAGTATTATGAAGAGCTGGACACCCACAGGACCTCTGCTCCCCTGATTCTTGTCAAGTTTGCAACCTTGCCAAAGGCTTACTCATTGGCAAGTAAATGACATGTCAAGTTTGGATATTGTCATCTTGGGGCAAGAGGACATGCCTGTGTGAGAAGGAAATGGAAAAGAAACCTTTGTATTTTAGTGAGCAAGTAGTTTGAAAAGGGGAAATGCATCAGTGTTAATAAATGCCACAGTATTTTTCTAGCCCAAACCTGCTGAGATGGTAGGTCCACTGGTGCTGATTTTTTCTAGATTATGTGGAAGATCTGAAGCAGGATTGGATATGGAACCAAAACCTGTGAGGCTTTTGTGGGCTAAAGACAGTGACCTGGATGGAAACGAAAGCCATTTAGAAGCAGCGAGTACAGGTTTTCTCCCTCCTGGAGAAATCTTGCGATGCAGGTCAATCAGGATATTTCCAAATATGAAGAACCTTATGGCAGACCTGCAATGCCTGAGAAATCTAACAACATGTGTCAGCAATTCTGAAACAGGAGAAGTCCTAAAAGCCAGGACTACTCTCCCTCTCAATTTGTGATTAAAAACAGGACAAGGAATGTATCATTTCAATATTAAAGTATGTGCGTTGAAATCTAAGCAGAGGAGTCAGCCTTGTAGCTGCTGTGACCCACAGGGATATTTTCAGTGGCTTAGATAGGTGGTGCCTGCTGTGTCTAATGTCTTTGAGGATGGTAATGTATTGGTTTTACTGTACGTGGATTCACCAACAGTGATTTGAAATTATATTCTGAAGCTCTTCAAATATTCAGTTGTTCTTGGATGGCTTTTGAAATTACACCATCAGGTCATCAAATGGTCTTGGAAGAAGTGGGGGTTATGTTTTTCATCTGTGACCAGTAGAAATATTTTTTTCTAAAAAGCAACACAGTTGAAAGGGAGCAGCTCAGGCTTGTTCGAGGCAGCGCAGTCCTTGTGCATCTTGGGCACTGCAAGGGGAGCTTAAGTGGGTGCAGAGAAGCTGGAAACCAAAGTAGAAATCATCAGGGCCTCGGCACAACACGAAGTCCCTGCAGGCAAGTCCTCATCTCCATGCCAGGACCCATGGAGATCCTGCACAGGAGCAAGCAGCAGGCCACACACCCCCCACTGTGTGTTCACACTCCAGCCTGTACCTGTTACTGATGGTGGAGACTGCGAACGGCTGCAATAGTGCAACTGAGGTTGAGTCAAAGATGGGGAGGGGCACTGTGGCTGCTTCAGTCTCATTTGCTGTTCTGGGTAGTGTGGAGTGGTAATGGAGCTCCTGCTCCACTCCCCATCATGAGAACCTCCAGGCTGGTCACTGAGTGAGCTTTATTGCTCACCCACTGTCTGTTCCCTTTGTCAAATGTCTCCCCAGCTCCTCACAAAAACCTTTCTCAGATGCTTCACTGGAAAATGTTTGGCTGACTGCATGCTTCACAGGACACTGGGTTAGCTGGCAGGCTGGCATGGGATTGGGGCTGCTCAGCTGTTTATCTGTCCTGATGACTATTCCCTCCTTCTGTGTGAGCATCCAGAGTCCATGTCCTGCTTTTCCAGCTTGTATCTGTCCGGGCAGCATCATGTCAAGTGGGGAGAAAAGCTTCAGGCCAGAGGAAACTCTTAAACCTGTGTGTCAAATTTTCCCCTAGCCCAGGGCATGGCTCTGCTGTATGAGGTCTTCAGCTTCAGCCCCTGTGCCTTCACAGCCAGGTGGGGAGGGGCTGCAGCACCAGAAGAGCTTTTCCACCTCCCAGGGACTTCGTCCTCTATGTGATTGCCCTCAATTTAGAGAATACATTGTGCCTTAATTTTCCCTGTGAGCGAAGCTGCAAGGGCAGACGAATTATCAGGCAACTAAGAACTCCTTTCTGTGCATCTCGCCCTATCGATAAATGCCAGCCTGCACAGCAGCCAGGCTATCCAAGACAGTCTTGAAATCCAAATCCACATTTGCCTATGAGGTTCACTTCCCAAGATTTTAAAGCTGGATTTATGTCTCTGGGACCTAACAGGCTCTGTTTCAACCTAGTATTTTTATAACATTTTTTCAGTTGTGCAGTGTCTGCTCATTCTCTTTTCTTTTAAAAAACCGAACCCTTGTGTTTGACATGAGTCCAAAATTTCAAATGGAGAATAGACCTGAGGTTGCAAATGTGTTTTAAACCTGGTCCCGCATCGACTTGTCTCTCTCAGGCAATGAACTTGTCGTGTATCGTGCTTCACCACCTCTTCATTTCTACTGTGATTGTGTTTCCCCTAGAATCACTGACAGACCATAAAATCATCATAAGCGGCACATCAGTTCAGAAACATCATTCCTAGTCAGCTGTGAAGGGGCTACCCCTTCCTTTTCCCT